CTCCGCCGCCGGTGCGAGGGGGGACCGGGAAGGGAGGGGTGGGGGACAACCACCCCTGGGAGTCCTTCGGGGGAGAAACTGGGGGACAAGGGGGGTCTGTGGTGAGGGAGAGGGACAGCGCTTCAGGAGAGGATGGGGGGGACGGGGTAACTCTTCAGGGGGAGCCTGGAGGGGACATGGATGGGCACAGGGACATCCCTCAGAGGGACAGGGGTACCCCCTCCACTCTGGGACCTGGGGGGGGACAGGGACATCACATAGAGGGACGGGGGTACCCCCTCCGTAGTGAGAATTGGGTGGGACAGGGACATCTCTCAGAGGGATCTGGGGGACAAGGGGACCTTCAGAGGGACCTGGAGACCTCTCAAGGGAACTTGGTGGGGACAGGGACAGCCCTCAGAGGACCTGAGGGACAAGGGGCACCCTTCAGGGAGACTTAAGGCAGGACAGGGACTTCCTTCAGTGGGACTTAGGGGACAGGGGGATCTGGGGGAGACAAGGACAAGACCTGGGGGCAGGGGACAGGGCCAGTTGTAAGAAGACTCTGGAGACCCCTCAAGGGAACTTGGCAGACACAGGGGCAGCCCACAGAGGACTTGAGGAACAGGAGGACCCTTGGGGGTGGAATTTAAGGGTGACAGGGACATCTCTCAGATGGACTGGGGGATCTGAGGGGACAGGGACATCCCTCAGTGGGACCTGAGGGTCAGGGAGGCCCTTCAGTGAGAATGAGTGGATTAGTGGGGACAAGGACATCCCGTAGGAGGAGAATGAGACACCTCAGGGGGACAGGGACATCCCTCAGAAGGACCAGGAGACTGCTTAGGGGGTGCGATGGGGACAGGGACATCCCTCAGAGGGACCTGGGGGCACTGGGGTGTGGGGGGGGGTGGACATGGACAGCCCTCAGGGAAGCTTGGGGGACACTGGGACTGCCCGTGAGCTGTCACCTGTCCCTGGTGTGGTGGGGGGTGTCACTGCACCGTGACTCTGGGGACCACCCACCCTTGTCCCCGCAGACGTCGCCTACCTGCGCTCCGTCCTGCCCAGCACCACCGAGGACGCCTTCTTCGATTACTTGGCCACCCTGGACGCCTCGGAGGTGACGGTCTCGGCTGTGCCAGAGGGCTCTGTCGTCTTCGCCAGGGTGGGACACGCGCGGTACCCTCCCCTGCTTTGGCCACCGTGTCCCTAGGGAGGATGGGGATGTCACTGCCACGCTGTCCCCTTGCAGGTCCCGTTCCTGCAGGTGAAGGGACCGCTGCTGGTGGTGCAGCTGCTGGAGACCATGTTGCTGTGCTTGGTCAGCTATGCCAGGTAGGGACACATCCTGTTTTGGGGACAACGTCCATCTGCACTGTGCCAAACCCTCTGAGTCCCTGCTATTGAGTGGAGAGGATCCCGGTGTGGGGGGCGCTTCGCGCTGGCTCCATGCTCGGCTCAGCTTGGTGTGACCCCAGCCCTTCCTCCCATAGTTTGGTGGCCACCAACGCCGCTCGCTTCCGCCTCCTTGCTGGTCCGGATGTGAAGCTGATGGAGATGGGGCTCCGTCGTGCTCAGGGACCGGACGGCGCCCTTTCGGCCTCCAAATACTCCTACATCGGGGGTGAGTGCTGCCCCACGGGGCACCGCGGCCACGTTGTCACCCGTGTGTCCCCACCCCGTCCCTCCTCGCAGGCTTCGACTGCACCAGCAACATCCTGGCGGGGAAGCTCTATGGCATCCCGGTGCGGGGCACCATCGCCCACTCCTTCATCATGGCCTTCACCTCGCTGGAGGAGGTGCAGCCCCGGGTGAGCGTCACCGCGGGCAGGGGATGGGGATGGGATGCTCTGGCCACGTTCCCGCTGCCGTGGAGGACACCACGGGGTCTGCAAAGCCCATGTTTCCCCCTGAGCAGGAGCTGCCACCACAGGCAGGAGGAGAACCAGTGGATCTCCCAGCCTTGGCCGAATCGTGGCTGGGGCGGGTGTGCGAGGTGCTGCAGACCCCCCCTGAGAAGGCAAACCGGGGCGAGCTGGCGGCCTTCGTGTCCTACGCCGTCACCTTCCCGTGTGACTTCCAGGGGCTGCTGGACACGTACTGTGTCAGGAGGTGAGGACGGAGGGGTCTTCTAGGGTAGCTTTGCCACAGTGGTAGAGGGGATGGATGCGTCCCTTCTTGCTTGAAAGCAAGGGGATGGAGTCAGAATGGTTTGGGTGGGAAGGGACCTTAAAGCTCCCCCAGTCCAACCCCTGCCATGGGCAGGGACACCTCCACCAGCCCAGGCTGCTCCAAGCCCCGTCCAACCTGGCCTTGGGCACTGCCAGGGAGGGGGCATCCACAGCTTCTCTGGGCAACCTGGGCCAGGGCCTCACCACCCTCACAGGGAAGGATTTCATCCTAATATCCAGTCTAAATCTCCCCTCTTCCAGTTTAAAGTCCTCACTCCTTGTTCTGTCACTCCATGTCCTTGTCAAAAGTCCCTCCCCAGCTTTCCTGTCCCCTTCACATCCTGGCAGGTTGCTCTAAGGTCTCCCTGGAGCCTTTTCTTCTCCAGGCTGAACCACCCCAACTCTTTCAGCTGCCTCCATAGCAGAGCTGCTCCAGCCCCTGATCAGCTTCATGGCCTCCTCTGGTCCCCTTCTAACATGTCCATGTCCTCCTCCTGTTGGGGGCACCTCGAGCATCTCCGTGCTTCACTGCTACTGCCCGCAGGGCTTGGATCTGCTCTGGGTCCATGTCCCACCAGGCAGTGGACACCAACTCCTCTCCTCACCCACACCAGGAGCGGTTTGCCAAATTTCTGTGCCGTGGCACTGGCCCTGAACCAGTTGGGCTACCGGGCCATCGGGGTGCGCCTGGACAGCGGGGACCTGGCCCAGCAGTCCAAGGAGATCCGCCGGGCGCTGCGAGCCTGTGGTGCTCAGTGAGTCCTTCACCAAACTTGTTTTGGCTGCCACCGGTCCCCAACTTCCCCACCTTGGGCTCCCAATGGGAGCGGGAGGCCTCGCTGCTCAGGGGGGTGCTGTGAGAGCAGCCAGGGGTCCCCCCAAAACTCTGTGTCTCCTTCCTTGCTCACTTCTCTGTCTATCTCTCTCCAGCTTCCAGGTGCCCTGGTTTGAGACCATCCCCATCGCCGTCAGCAACGACATCAGCGAGCAGAGCCTGGAGGAGTTCAGCCAGGAGGTGAGGGGGGCTGGGACATCACCGTGGCTGTCACAGAACCATTAAGGTTGGAGAAGACCTCTAAGATCATCAGCCCAGCACCCCCATGTCCGTTTTCACTGGTGCTGTTGAGGTTTGGGGTGGACGTGAGGCACCTGGGATTTTTCTCCTTGGGTGAAAACAGAGAAGAGTTTCCAAACTGGGTTAAAAAAACCCCACGGCTTTTGGGTGGGACAGGTGGGGACCAGGCACCTTCAGGCAGGGCATCCTCTGATCCCCGTGGCTCTGTTTTTGGCATGGGCTCAAAAACCAGTGGCAGGGTTGTGGTGTTGATGGCTGTTGTCTTCTCTGCCACAACAGGGGAGCGAGATTGACATGATCGGCGTCGGGACGAACCTGGTGACGTGTCCCCTGCAGCCGTCGCTGGGCTGTGTTTACAAGGTAGGGGTGGCAGCAGCTTTGGCTTGTGGGGGTCCCTGGTTTCTCCCAGACTTTGTATGACTGGGGCTGTGCAGCTCCATCAAATCATGGGATGGTTTGGGTTGGAAAAGACCTTTAAAGGTCACCCAGTCCAACCCCTGCCATGAGCAGGGACACCTCCCACCAGCCCAGGCTGCTCAAAGCCACGTCCAACCTGGCCTTGAGCACTTCCAGGGATGGGGCATCCACAACTTCTCTGGGCAACCTGTGCCAGTGCCTCATCACCCTCATCTTAACAAATGTCTTCCTTATGTCCCATCAAAACCTACCCTCTTCTAGTTTAAAACCACTACCCCTTGCCCTACTAAAAGAATTCTCTCTCCATATTTTTTATCAGCCCCCTTTAAGTATTGAAAGGCCACAAGAAGGTCTCCCTGGAGCCTTCTTTTTTCCAGGCTGAACAACCCCAACTCTCTCAGCCTTTCCTCCCAGCAGAGGTGCTCGTTGCTTATTCTTGAACCTCATGAAGTTCACGTGAGCCCATTCCTTGAGCTTGTCCAGGTCCCTCTGGATGGTGTCCCTTCCCCCAAGGGAATCAACTGCACCCCTTGGCTGGTGTCATCTGCAGATTTGCTGAGGCTGTGCTCAGTTCCGTTGTCTGTGTCCTCCCTGGAAATAATGTTCACGAGATCACTGTAACAAGAAGTTTGCAGGCAGGATGTCCAACTTTGGGGTGGTTTGAGGGTTTTTTGATTTATTCAGCTGGTTTGCATCAGTGGCCTCCCCAGCACACGGGGACACACTTATAGAGTTTGGCGTGGTCTTTGTGACAAAAATGAGGTGCCCATCTCCATCACCTCCTTCTCCTACAGCTGGTGGAAGTCAATGGCTCCCCGTGCCTGAAGCTCACAGAAGATGAGGAGAAGATGACGATCCCAGGGACGAAGACGATTTATCGGCTCTATGACGCTGATGGTGAGCTGGGACACCCTTGCCATGGTGCTGCCATTGACCTGCATCCCCTGCTCCTTGCTCCATAGCCCTGTCCTTGATATCCTCTGCACCCGCTGGTCCCTAAACTGTCACCCCTGCAGGTCACCCCTTCATGGACCTCATGGCCCTGGAGGAGGAGCCTTCACCCGTTGCGGGGCAGGAGCTGGAGATCCACGTCCTGGGGCAGCTTGGTGAGAGCAGCAAGGTGATGCCCACCACTGTGGAGCCCCTCCATCGCACCTACTTCAGAGATGGCCAGGTCAGAGGTGGCTCTGGGGTGTCCTCCCCCACCTTGGGTGAAGACCCAAGCCAGAGGGGTGGTGGTCTTGGCAGTCACGTCAGGATCAGAGGGTTAAGCCCCGGTGTTTCCTTGCATCTGAGATGTTCCTTGCCCCAACAACTCGGGTGCCACCATGGACACGGTGGTGGTGGCTTGCTGGGGGTTGGGGGTGGGTGTCTGACTCCCTGCGTGGACGTGGTCATTGCATCTCCATCAGGTGTGTGAGCCACTGCCCAGCCTGCCGGAGGTGAGGAGCCACGCACAGGCGTCCCTCAGCCAGCTCAGCCCTGCTCACCGCCGGCTCCGTGAGCCCCAGCCCTACCCGGTACGTCCATCACATTCCCGTCCCCATCGGTACACACCTGGTCCTGGTGCCAATGTGGCTCCACCACGGAGCTCCAGATACGGGGCTGCAGTCTCCCCTGGGGAGCACACACTTACTGTCCCCTTGCTCCCGTGTCAGGTGGCTGTGACGGAGAAGCTGCACCACCTCTTCACCAAGCTGCAGGAGGCCAACCAGTGATGGGGTCCCTGCTCACACCCCCCGCTCTGCGCCCGTCTTCCACCTTCGTTTGAAGACCAGGTGTCTAATTGGGAATTAATGGCTCTAACGACGCTGCTAATGGACTCTGCAGGACCTGGAAGTGCTCTCTGAGGTCCCGCTAGCAAAGCTGGGCACAGAGGGATGGGTTGGGCATGTCCTCTGGAAGTGACGGTCCTTCCCTGCCTTCCTCGGTGGCCCTACCAGCTCTGTGCCTTCTGCTGTGGCAGCGCTGCCTGCCTTAATGGCCCTGCCAGCCCTGTGCCTTCTGCTGTGGCAGCCCATGCTGAAGCTCCTTGGTGGCACTAGAGACCAAGTCTTGAGAGCACAAGGTGTCCTACCATGGGAAGGACCAAGCTGTCCCGCAACCCACATCCTGTGGGACATCTGTGACAGATGTCCTTTGCTTTTTCTATTCTAGGCTTTGGCTCTGCGGCCACTTTTTTTGTGTCCTTCCGTGTTGTATCCATTCCCTGGGGTGTGGAGGCCGGCTCCAGGTTGATGCTGGCCCCAGGTTGACGCCTGCGCTCTTTAACCTGATGTTCATAGAGGAAGCGTGGCACTAATCCCAGCAATTAACTTCATCCTAAGCTAAAAAAACCCAAAATAAAGGCCTTTACCAGCTGCAGCCACACTGTGTGACTGCACTGGTCCCTCAAAACACTCATCGCCTTCAGCTTCAACTTTTAATTCAATGTCCTTCACTTCCCTTCATGGTTTATGACTAAATAGCAAGTGCTGGTGCCTGGGAGTGTTGGGGGTGGTCCCAGTGGGTGCCTCAGCCCTGTTTTGTGGCATCTTACGACCCTAATTCCAGTGAAATCCCCGTTGTAGCTCCACTGGGGGGTGGGTTTCATGCCCAGGCAATGACTGGAGGCTCTATGAAAACAGTCAAGCAAAGTTGTTGCATGGAATGAAAACTAGATGATCTTTTGAGGTCCCTTCCAATCCCTAACGTTCTGTAAAACCCCAAAACCTGCACAGACAGAATCTTCTCCGAGTCACACATTATTTTCTTTAATCCTGCCCAAATCTGTAACAGGGAGATGGTGAATGGTTTCCCCCCCCCCCGAGGCTGTAAAATGTAGAGACCCAGAAACTGGGAAAAAAACGAGGGAGGGCAAGAGGGACATCCCCAACCACCAACCCCACGCCTGTGTTTGCACCCCTTCCCAGGAGCAGCCGTGGTTCAGATCTGAGCAGCACATATTGGTGGGGACAAAAATAATTAAAAGAGCTTAATGAAGCGTGGCCTGATGGTCTCTTGTTTCGGAAAAAAACCAAACCTCCCAACCAGCTGGAGTTTGGTGTTGCAATGCTCCAGCTCTGGGCACTGTATCACAACGTAGCTTTTTAAGAGAAGGAAACAAAAATGTCCAGGAAAACCAAGAAGCATTTGCTACTAAACTGTACATTTTTAGAGAAGCACCAGTTACAGGAGCCCAAACCCCAGCATACCTGAGTAGAGATTGTCCTGAGTTCTTAAGAGAGAAGGAATGAAGAGCAACTTGAAGGAGATGAAGAAAGACAGCGAGACAGCAGCATCCCTCAGCCCCTCCATCCTCTCCATGGCCACAGGGGAACAGCCAGAGGTCCATGAACCAGTTCCCGGGCAGGAACAGGCTAAACTCATGGTTGGGATGATCTGTTGCTGTATCTGTCACTATCTTCTACCTCCAAACGTGTGCTGATGCTTTGGTACCGTTTTGAGTATCTCCACCACCTCTCTGGGCACCCTGCACCAGTGCTTGTTCACCTTCACGGTGAAGAAGCATTTCCTGATGCCCAAAGGGAACCTCTCGTACTTTGGTTTGAGCCCGTGGCCTCTGGTCCTGTCACTGGGTACCACGGAGAAGATCCTGGCACTGTCCTCATTGCACCTTCCCTGCAGGTACTTACAGATGTGGATTCAGTGCCCCCCAAGGCTTCTTTTTATTTCCAGGCTGAACAGTCCCAGCTCTTTGGTTCTCCTCAGACAAGAGATGCTCCAGTCCCTTCATCATCTTCATGGCCCTTCGTTGGACTCTTTTTTCATCTCTCTTCTACTGAGAAGCTCAAAACTGGGCCCAGTTCTCCAGCTGTGGCTTTATCAGCGCTGAGCAGAGGGGAAGGATCCCCTCCCTTGACCTGCAGGCAAGCTGTTGAGGTCCCACTTAGCATCACAACCCTGCTGTCAGCAAAAAAAAGACCCTAAACCACATGAATTGTGTGGCCCAGGCCAACAAGACCGATGATAGAAAGCTACAGGCTGCACCTTGCAATTACATCACCCTGTGTTAAAGAGTTAAAAATATAAGAAGAGCAGGAAGGAGGTGACAGCTGCAGATCTGGGGCTCCTGGATGCATCCCTCAAGGTTTTTGGTGTCCTGTTGGTGCAATCTGGCAGCTGGGTAACCCAATTTACAGCACTGAGTACTGTAACAGCTTCCCGCTGCCATGACAGCGTCTGCTTAATGGCAGAGAAGCCCCAGTTTGCAGATTTCAATGATTTAACTTGAGGAATACCAGTTTCCACCCTGAGAGCCTAATCCTTACTGCAGTCACAGCAGGAAATCACAGAAGTCATTAAGGTTGGAAAAGACCTTTAAGATCATCAAGTCCAACTGTTAACCTGCCCCCACCATGGCCACTAAACCACGTCCCCAAGTGCCACATCCACACATTTTCCTGAACCCCTCCAGGGATGGGGACTCCACCACTGCCCTGGGCAGCCCCTTCCAGTCCCTGATAACCCTTTCCATAAAGAATTTTCCCCTTAGATCCAACCTAACCTTCCCCTGGCACAGCTTGAGGCCATTTCCTCTCATGCCATCACTTGTTCCTGGGAAGCAGAGACTGACCCCCCCCTTGCTACCTCCTCCTTTCAGGAGCTGCAGAGGGGATAAGGGCTCCCCTCACCTCCTCTTCTCCACTTGAACCCCCCAGCTCCCTCAGCCGCTCCCCATCATTCAGATGCTCCAGACCCCTCCCCAGCTTTGTTGCCCTTCTCTGACCACGCTCCAGCCCCTCTATGGCCTTTTTGGGGCCCAAAACTGAGCCCAGGATTGCAGGGGCAGCCTCACCAGTGCCTAGTACAGGGGTACAATCACTGCCCTGGTCCTGTTCACTTTGCTTTGCTGATACAGACCAGGATGATCCAAAAGTGCTCATTTTTTTTTTCCTTTTTGTTTTGCCCTTGGAATTCTGTTACTGGTCTGCAGCACAGATGGCAGAAATGGATGCAATGATGGGACAGCAAGTGCTTAAAGTGGGGTTAAAACACCTGATCACATAGCAATACTGCAGACTTTGCAAAAAAGAGGACAGCATAATGAGTTCATGTGCTGTTCCCCTGCTCCATCTTTCTTCCAGTTTTGTTCTTAGAAAAAATACCTATTTTTAAAGTGTATTTGCAGTTCAAGATATCCAATGAATTGAAAATAAGGGGTGGCGGGTAAAAGTGCCAGAGTATTTGTGCTGGATGAGGGAAGCACAGACAATTCTGGGACCCAGCTTTGGGTCTGGGGGTCACATCCTGGACCTCATAAAAACCCCTTGTCCTGATGCATCACTTAACCACAGCGGTGCAGCTCACACCTCCTGGTTTTCTCACCCCAGGAGTCCACGTGAGGACGTCTTAATGCAGGGCGAGGCTGTGGTTTCCTTGCGCTCCAATAACTGCTTGTGTCTGGATTAGATGCTGGTCCTCAAGCTTTGGAGGGAAGGGCTGATAGGGAGAAGAAAAAGATGCTGGGGAGGACTCTGAGGTAGGACATTGCTGCAGAGGGCCTGGGGAGGAAGGAGGCTGGAAAGGTAGGAAATGAGAATGAATTTCAGTGTAAATAATTCAAGAGCCCAGGTCTGCAGGAAGCTATCGCTGGATAAGGCCAGGTATGGGATTTAACAAACCCAGACAGGCCAATGTGGACAGCTTGATACCAGACCCTGGAAGAGGTAAGAAGAGGCAGAAGTGCAAGCTCGGTGCACCCAAACTCCAGCTGTTTTCACTGATGAGGAGCTGCAGGGTTGACCCAAGCTCGTGTTTCCAACGCCTCACAAGCACCAGCCCATGGCAGTGTCATTTGTACAGCGCCATCTTCTTGCTCTGGTACATGTACATGTAGGCATCACAGAACAGGCGCTTGGCCACTCCATCCATGTCCCGAGGTTGCTCCAGGGCCAGCACAGCCAGCGGCAAGTCCAGGTATTTGGCGACTTCAGGGCACAGTGTCACCGTGGGAATGTTGAAGCCCGTTTCACCACCTAAACCCAGAAAGGAGGAGAAGAATCCAAACCATGTCCCAGGGGATGAGTACCTACAGCTCAAGCAGATACCATCACACTTGGCAGTTATATAGTCCCTCAGCTGAGAGATCTGGAAGCCAACAATAAAGTGGGGAAGGACAGAAGGGTCCTCACCCACACGGCAGCCAGTCCGAGCTGGCTCAAGAAGCCCCTTGGTTGAACATCCCAGAGGATGAAAGCACTTGGAGGAACTCAGAATCACAGAATATGAGGAGTTGGAAGGGACCTCGAAAGCTCATCCAGTCCAACCCCTGCCAGAGCAGGATCACCCAGACCAGGTCACACAGGAACACGGCCAGGCGGGTTTTGAATGTCTGCAGAGAAGGAGACTCCACAACCTCTCTGGGCAGCCTGGGCCATGCTCTGGCACCCTCACACTAAAGAAGTTTTTCCTTATGTTCAAGTTGAACCTCCTATGCTCCAGCTTGTTCCCATTGCCCCTTGTCCCCATTGCCCCTTGTCCAGGCATTGGACATCCCAGAGCAGAGCCTGGCTCCTTCCTCCTGACACTCGCCCTTTCCAAATTGATCCCCATGAATGAGGGCACCTCTCAGTCTCCTCTGCTCCAAGCTCAAGAGCCCCAGCTCCCTCAGCCGCTCCTCATAAGGGAGATGCTCCACTCCCTCACATGTGCTTGCCCTGGTCATACTCTTCTCTGGGGTCTACCTAAGTGGCCACTGTTGGAAGCAGGGTCCAGA